CAGGTCTTTTTGCCCAAGTTCAGGCTGCAGGCACTAGAGCATGGAGGAAACTGCCCACCAAAGGCGACATGAGCTCCTCCCTTACTCAGATTTTGTTCTGGATTGCCTATAAATCTTTGGGGTAGAGACCTCTTATCCCAATTAGGATTAATAATGGGAAGCCCGAATGCTGTTATTACTACCCAAATGTTGAAAACTGGATATCTACCAGGCCAAGGGCTGGGAAAAATTAATACGGGTATAACAGAACCCATAGAGCCCTCCCCAAAGACTGATAGGGCAGGATTAGGCCATTTTCCATGGGGGCCATCGACACTCCTGTGACCCATGCAGAGGAGCCAGTGTAGGTTAATCAATGGCCTCTAACAGTAGAAAAACTGATGGCTGCACAACAGCTGGTACAGGAGCAGCTTGATGCTGACCACATTGTCCCTAGTAACTCCCCTTGGAACACTCCTATTTTTGTCATTAGAAAGAAATCTGGCAAATGGCGGCTATTGCAAGACTTAAGAGCTGTAAATAAGACTATGGTACTAATGGAAGCCTTACAACCAGGACTTCCCTCACCTGTTGCCATCCCTTTGGGTTATTTCAAAGTCATTGTTGATCTAAAGGATTGGTTTTTCACGATTCCTCTGCATCCAGATGATCAGAGGCGATTTGCATTCAGCTTACCAGCTATAAATTTCAAAGCGCCTATGAAAAGATTCCAATGGCGTGTTCTGCCACTGGGAATGGCTAATAGCCCTGCCCTATGCCAATCCTTTGTGGCCTCAGCCTTACAATCAGTTAGAGACAACTGGCCAAATATGTACATTATACATTACATGGATGATATCCTCATAGCCGGAGAAGAGGGGAGCGAGGTTTTGAAATGCTATGAGATGATGCGCATTGCCTTACGAGACAAAGGCCTGGAAATAGCCCCTGACAAGGTCCCCGTGAACTTACCTTGGAAGGAAAGCAGGCTATACGCAAAGTCGAACAGGCTATCCACGCTCAAGCAACCACCTTTATGGATTAAACCTTAAATATGTACATGTTCAGTCACATGCTAACCACATTTACAGTTCTGGGATGCCCACAGCAATTGAAAACCGATAATGGCCCAGGCTATACAAGTTCAGCCTTCTCCAAGTTTTGCAAACGCCTCAATATTCAACACATAACAGGTATACCTTACAACCCTCAGGGCCAAGGGATTGTAGAGCGAGAGCACATCTGTCTTTAAAGATCACCATTAATAAAATAAAAAAGGGGGAATGGTACCCCACGAGGGGGTCACCCAGAAATATTCTCTCTCATGCCTTATTTATCCTCAATTTTTTAAATTTGGACACTGATGGGCAATCTGATGCTAATCGCTTTTGGCATACAGAAACTCAAAACCAATTTGCATCAGCACTATGGAAAGATCCGCTAACCAGCTCTTGGCATGGCCCAGACCCAGTCTTCATCTGGGGCCGAGGTTCTGTATGCATTTACTCTAAGAAAATGAAATCTGCCAGGTGCCTACCAGAGCGTCTGGTTAAACAGATTGATCAAGTTAAAGGAATAACAGATAACCATATAGATAACTCCAGGGATGAAAATTCGCCCTGAGAGGCTTTTCCTGTTTTTCTTTATTTCAGGAATGGACCGGAAGGCTGAAATCTTACTGCAGGGATACTACTGCATCTTTGCCTGCTTGTGGAAGGGGGTTTTGGGCCTCCTTCAAACCCTGAGGAGCTCCTGAGGGCCTTATTTGGCCCCCCATGCGACTGCCTTGCAGGAATGCTGCTGCTTAAAAGAACTTTTCGATAACCCCCTTTGGAGCGGGCTAAATGGGGTGCTGCCTTATCTTCTCCCTCTGTTGGGCCCCTTACTTGGCCTTTTACTGATTGCGACACTAAGAGCCTTCCTCTTCAATAAGGTGATGGCTTTCATCAAGCAGCAGAAAAATGCCATTAAGATGCAACCTATACAGGTCCATTATCATAAATTGAAATGGCCGACAGAGAAGCTCACTCTAGCTGTGAGTCAGTAAGCTATGACTATGCCGGAGATGGCAAATAGTGAGTCTCAAAAAGCAAATAGTGAGTCTCAAAAAGCAAATAGTGAGTCTCAAAAACCTTGTCACCTTGGTGCACTTGACTGGATAACCAGAGATGGGCAACTGGAACTCACACGCATCACCAACCACCACCTAAGACAGGAACAAGGCCTTATGCTGCCTTGCTATTCCAATGACGGGTTCGGACAGGTCGGCACCGTGTGCAAGTTTCCTGACCGAAGACAGGCACAGTCCCCTCAAGGTATTATTTCGGCCTTAAAATAAATAAATAAAAAAAATAAAGGGGGACCTGTGGGAGACTTTTTGCATGGCGTCAATTTTGTTAAAATCTGCTCTGCCATCGCCTGCCCCAAGGCAGGATATCTCTGCATTCTGCATTTCTTTATCTCTGCATTTTGCATTTCTTTAAGTAACCATTTACTCTTCAGCCAGTCTTTACTGACCTTTTGTTCCTTTTGTAGTATTTCCTGGAATTGCTTCTGGCAAGCTTGGTGCTTGGCAACAGGTGCTTCTTGCCCTATATATTGTGTGAATTACCCCTGAATAAATGAGACTTGATCAGAGCCCTGTCTTGTCTCCATTTCTCGTGTCTCTTGTCCCTCCTCATCCTCACTCCCCCCTCTAGAGTCCTCGTTGCTCGACCTGCGGGACGGGTCAGTGCAGGAAGATTTTTTGTTCAGATAGAGCAGGAGAGAAAGAGAGGAAGAGAGAGAGAGAAATATCAATGTGAAAGGGACACATCGAGTGGCTGCCACCCACACGACCCATCCAGGGCCGGGGACAAACTGCAACCGAGGTACGCGCCCTTAGTGGGAACTGAACCTGGGTCTCTCTGGACCACAGGCCGACGCTCTAACCGCTGAGCCAAACCGGCCAGGGCTAGAAAATATTTTAAGTGTAGCCCTGGCTGGCTGGGCTCAGCAGTTAGAGCATCAGCCCTCAAAATGAAGAGTCTCGGGTTCATTCTGGTCAAGGGCACATTTTTGGGTTGCAGGTTGGATCCTGACCCCAATGGGGTCGTGCAGGAAGCAACCAGTGGATGTCTCTATTTCCCTCTCTCTGTCCCTCCCACTCTATCTGAATTCAATGGAAAAGTATCCTTGGGTGAGCATTAACCCCCCCCCCCAAAAAAAAACACACAAACAAACAAACAAAAAACCCCACCCCAGCTCTTGGCAGTGTGCCCCAGGAACGTGCCTGTTCTGGGTGGCCCTAGCTCCTATACTTGTCATCTTAGTCACAGCCCGAATAGGGGGTGGGGCCACTAGTCCTTGTGCGTCCTGCTTAGTAAACAGGTTATTTCTGGGCTAGAAACAGTAGGTTGTTTCTGGGAGAAGGGAAGGGCTTCTCTGAGGAGCTCTGCTGGCTTGGTCTCCTGTCTAGCACCTGTCTCTCTGAGGCAGGCTGCCGTTGTTTTTGTTTTTAATTGACTTCTGCAGACATCCGTGAGAGAGAACACTGACTGGCCGCCTTCTGGACATCGCCCCACACTGGGGATCGGGCCCACAACCTGGGCATGTGCCCAGACCGGGAACCGAACCCCCAACCAAGCCTCTTGGTGCATGGGTCCATGCTCAACCACTGAGATGCTCAACCACTGAGCCACATCCACCGAGGTACGTGCCCGGGTCTCTCTGGACCGCAGGTTGACGCTCTAACCGCTGAGCCAAACCGGCCAGGGTTGTGATTCTTTTAAGTGGTTTTCGCAAGCTCACTGGGAAACCTCACCGGTACGCTCTGGATTCCGGAAACATTGAAACACACGTTTAAACAACGTTAAAAAATTCTCTTCCTAGTGCTTTATAAAACTTTCATTTCATGGGGAAGTCATTTCATCATTAAGTAGTGTGAGGTCAAATATTTACGTTTGGATAGAATATTAAATTAACATCATTCAAAAGCAAACAAATCTAAAGGCAACGATGTTGAAAAAGTTTTAAACGTCAAGATTGATTTCCCCCCAAACCACATATATTCAGGGGCAAATTGAGTTACCACTTCCGGGCAAATATTCAGACTTAATAAAACTGTTTGAAGTTCTAGTACAAATCAGCCTGACACAGAGAGACACGGAAGAACCTTGTTCCGATTTAGATCCTATTTTGAAAGCCTGGGCTGTTTTCTACAGCTTTGCTAATGAATCTCTAGGAGGCAGCTCATGGGTGGCCTGCGGCTGGGGGTGCGGGCAGGGGCACTTTGGGAGGGATGGCTGTGTCCACTCTCCTGCGGGGAGCCACGAGTGTGCACACAAGAAAACACCACACTGTGCACTTTGCAAATATGTAGCTTATCGTGTATCAGTTCCACCTTAGTTACACTTTATATCAGTTATACTTGAACAGTTACACCTGTGAAAGCGCCGCCCCGCCCGCCCTTAAAAAGAGAAACAGCCTCTCCCTGCGCGGCTGGCGTGGGCCACCGCGGAGCACCACGTCCAAGCTAAAAGGACGCACAGCCTGGCCGTGTCCCCCGACGGCCCACTCCGCCCAGCCCCAGGGGTTCCTGGAGAGCCTCACCGGGGAGCCACGGGCAGCGGTGGCCTCGGAGACTTGCCCGCCGCCCGCTCGCCCTCCATCGAGGGAACGCGGAGCGAGCGGCCCGGCCTGGGGTGCGGGGAGGTCGGGATCCCGGTGCTCAGGGTGCCGGGGAAGCGGGACGCTGCGGCTTTCCCCCCGGACTCCAGGACTCTGACTTTGTCGGGCTCCGAGATCGCGCCCGTCCCGTCCCGCCCCGCCCCACCCCGGGTCCGCTCCCCCGCCCGGCGTCCGCTCCCCCGCCCGGCGTCCGGCCCAAGATCGCGCCCCCCGCCCCCTCGTCGGCCCTAAGATCGCGCCCCCCCCCGCCGGCCCCAAGATCGTGCCCCCTGCCCCCCCTGCGTCCGCCCCCCCCGCCCCCCGCCCCGACCTCACGATCGCCCCCCACATCGGAGCCTCTGCCGCGCACCCACCAGCGTCCCGAGGAACAGCAGCCACATCGCAGCGGCGGCGGCGGCGGCTGGAACTCGAGGGCGGGGGGCAGGCTCATGTCGCGCGGGCCCTCGGCCGGCCGGCAGCCCCGGCTGCAGAGAGACAATCGCGCTGCGGCCCTTCATGTACCTGCGCCGCGTCGGGAGCGCGCGGCTTTATCGGCGGGTCTATTCCGGGAGTGGGGCTTTTCTTCCCGAGGCCCCGCCCTCGCCCCCCGCTCATTGGCTGGTCTAGTCCGGGAGTGGGGCTTTTCTTCCCGAGGCCCCGCCCTCGCCCCCGCTCATTGGCACGTCTATTCGGCGGGTGGGGCTTTCCTTCCCGAGGCCCCGCCCCCGCCCCGCCCCGCCCGGCCGCCCGCGCTTATTGGCTGCTGCTCCCACGCTGCGGCGCACCACCCTCAGGTGACCGGATACATTTGCCCAAACAGAGTTTTCTCCAGGTTCACCGGCATTCCCGCGGCTTCCCGGCGCAGGGGGTGGCGCTCGCCGCGCCGCCGCCCCTCCGTGGCACACACGCCGCGGCCACAGGCTCTGCCCTCTGCGAAGGGACCGGCCCCGCTCTCCCCTCGGCGCAGTCTTGCAGCTGCTCGGGGGCGACGCTGGGAAGGTGGGTGGCGGGGAGGGCGAGGGGAGGAGACCCCTCCTTCAACGGGGTGCGCAGGGGCAGCCCAGGCGCGGCGACGGGGCTCCGCCCGCTCACCGCGGAAGCGCCTGCGAGGACTCCCCACCGGTGCACAGTCCCCGAGTGGGAGGGGTCGCAGCTTCTCGCTATGCGCGCCGTGCAGCCTCCGGACCACGCGCTCCCCGAGCCCCCGGCCCTGCAGGTCGGCAGACGCCGTGGAAAGAACCGCACACCCGGCACACATTTCCTGCGGTGCCCGCTACTTCTCGGCCCCGTCCTGCCACCTGGCGGAGAGGCGCCCTCCTGTGCGTCTCATCCCGAACCCGCCCCCGCGTCTCCCTCTGCCGGGGTCCCTGGCTCTGTGGGCAGCTGTCCCACCCCCTCTGTGGGGCTGGGGCTCTGAGTACCGGGAAAGGTGGTCACAGTGGAGCCGGAGCAAGGGCCAGTCTGGGGTTAGCAGGGCAGGGAGGGGGGCAGTCTGTGGGGGAAGAGACCAGGCAAAATGGGCCTTGGGGCCACCCATTCTCAGCAGCAACCTGGGATGTCCTGGTGGGCAGTGCGGCTCCCCATCCTCAGCTGGCTCATGGGACAGTTGATGGGACCCCCGCCTCCTGGCACTTGCTTTACAGGGTGGGCTTGCTTCTCAGTGGTCCCTGCAAACTAGACCCCATCCCCTAGGCCCCTCCACCCCCAGACAGCCTGCTGCTGGCACCGAATCTCTCCCCAAGAAGACACCCCCCTTTCCAGAACTCCTCCAAGAAGACAACACGCAATGTGTGTGTTCCTTTATTTCTAGGAATGGAGCACAGACATGTCCCCAAATTGGGGGGGGGGGGGGGAGTGGCGGGGGAAGGGACGACAAGACCATGGATACAAAATCTGGAAAATGTGGCAATCAGCTCAGAGGGCATGGCCACCAAGTTTAAGGCTCCGTGTGTACCTACGTGTGCAGGTGCTTACACGCGTGCGCGCACACACACGTGGCACTGGACACAGGAACGGAGGCCAGACGCTGCTCGCCGTCTGCCTAAAATATTGCAGTTAACGTTTATTTAAAAAGTGGGGAGACCACACGTCGGTCTGAGTCCAGTGGCAAGTCTGCGAGTACTGGGCCGCTTTGCAGAGGCACCTGCAATAGAGACCGCCCATTCCCTCCCAGCCTGCGGGGCCTGCAGGGCGGCTTCCCTTCTAACCTGGCTCCGGTCCAAACAGCACGAGGGCAGAGTAAAATCCCAGGAGGCGGGTCAGGACAGTCCCGGGCTTGGTGGTCCAATCCTGGCAGGCCCTCCTGCCCCCGACCTGTGTCCATCCCACGTGGAAGCTGGGCTTGGAGTGAGAGGCCAGATGACCAGGGACTGTGCCACACACAACAGGGGCACTGGGCTTGAGCATTAAGGCCAGCGCAGGGTGAGGGCCCTGCTGAGAGGACAGTGCCCCCCCAAGAGGAGCCGGGCGGCCCCCAGGTCCCCTCCGCTGTCCTCTTGCTGCTGGGGACCCTCTGTCCACAGTGGCCGAGCTCACGGCATCTCTCCGCTTCCCGGGGCTGGTTTAAAGTGCTGGGTGCTGGGGAGGAGGGCGGAGCTGGCCGAGCTCTGCAGGCGATGGCCACGCCACCACGAAGGACTCTTAGGTGAGGATGTGGTTCATGAGCAGCTGGCAGACCAGGAGCACGCAGAGCAGGCACCAGGAGCGGGGGCTCTGCAGGAGGCCGGGGGCCCCCGCCTGCCTGGCCCTCGCGGTGGAGCTGAGCATGGCCAAGAGGTGCCTGCAAGGGGAGGGTGCAGGGCTCAGCCAGGCCAGCAGACAGGATGGTCCACGCCCCTCCCGGGACATTGGCTGGAGGGACCTGGTACCCGGGGCACAGCAGCTGCACTGCCCTTCCTGGGCACACATTCCAGGGAGTGGGATCAGGGCTGGGGGAGCTGAACCTCCCTCCCTTCCCACCCCTGCTCTGATGGTGAGTTGTATCCCACCCTCCAAAATCATGTCGAAGTCCTGACCGTCAGGACCTCAGAATGTGACAGTATTTGGAGAAAGGGTCTTTAAAGAGATGATTAAGGTAAAATGAGGTCATTGGCATGGCCCTAATCCAATGTGACTAGTAATTATAAGCAGAGGTCAGGACACAGATACACAGAGGGACAGAAGGATGACCAGGTGGGGATGCAGGGAGAAGATGGCCGTCCACAAGCTTAGGACAGAGGCCTGGGGAGGAGCCAGCCCTGTGACCCCTGGATCCCCAACATCCAGCCTTTAGGGTAGACAGTGTCTGCGGTTTCAGCTGCCCCGTCTGTGGGACTTTGTGGCCCCAGGACACTCAGAAGCCGCCCTGACTCTGAGCCAGGTGTGGCCGGGCTGCTGCAGAAGCTGCGGGCTGTTCTCTGGGCCCCCTGCCTTGTAGCTACCCTCCCTGGCTGCCCAGGCCTCTGGGCTCAGCTCTGCCATCTGGGCCCTCACCGGGGCTCCGCCCTTCTCCCAGCAGGGCCCTCCTGGGGTCCCACCATCTCAGTACTGACTCTGCTCTCCCTCCGCCAGCTCCTCCCTGCACGCCTGCATCTTCCTCCAGGAAGCCCTCCCTGACTGCGCAGACAGGCCAGAAGCCCTCCCTGACCACGCAGGTGGCATTCTCTCCCCGTTCTCTGAATGTGTCCAAAGGGAGCAGGCTATGAGGACAATGACATAAAACGCTTCTGCACTAACTGCGGTGAGTCACAGGCAGGGCTGGGCTCGGAGTTGCTAAATTGCTCCATCCTAGGGTTTTGTGTGTGTGTGTGTGTGTGTGTGTGTGTGTGTGTGTGTGTTTGTGGTACGTGCCCCTAGCGGGAACTGAACCTGGGGCACTCTGGTCCACAGGTCGACGCTCGACCGCTGAGCCAAACCGGCCAGGGCTCAATCCTAGGTTTGTGGGGGCATCTGGGGAAAAACGACGGACAGCCAGAGCTCACAGCCGCCGAATGCTGGCTGGGTGCTGGGCAGTGCTCAGCCCCCTGCACCATCTTCATTTCACCCCAGGGGCACTATCACCCCATTCTATAGAGGGGGAGACTGAGGCACGGAGCCCAAGGTCCCACACCCAGGAAGCAGGGCTGGCCCTTCTCCACCTCTGGGTGTCAGCTCACGCAGGGCCCACGGGGCCAGGGGGTCCCGTCCCCACCACGGTCACGCAGCACCCCTCCCAGGCCCTCCCTGCCCTGCGCTCGCTCCCCCACCCCGCCTGAGAGTCTGCTGGGAAGGGCGCTGCCAACACAGCGGCGGCGAAGGCCCAGATGCCCAGGGAGTGCTGCTGCCGCCAGTGCCCCATCTCAGCCCCGCCTGACTCCAAGCCACCCAGACTTCGATGCCCCACAGGCTCCTCCAGCCCGTGGCCACGCACCCTCCTCGGCCTCCTTGCACTGCCCAGCTCGCTGCTCACACAAAGCCGGTCCCTGCTGCCGCCCACCCCCCAGAGGGGGCAGAACCCCGGGCGGTCTCCCTATGCCCTCACTGGCACCCAGACCCTTTGAGGGCTCCAGCGCCTAGTGACGCGTGATGCACGCTCCCTGGCCGCCTGCCCGCGGCCCTCGGCTGTCCTGTGCCCTCTCCCCGGCCAGGCCCAGGCCCTACCTGTGGAGCTCCTGCTGGGCCTCCCGGAGGGACAGGATGGCCTCCTGCAGCGCCTGCAGCCGCCCAGCCTCCTTCCCGCACCGCGGGCACGGGCTCTCGCTGCCTGGGATGGCAGACCGCCGGCGCAGGAGCAGGGACAAGGGGACACGGGAGGAGATGAAGGTGAGAACCAAGGATGAACTGGGATGTTGGGGAGCCAGTGTGTGGGGCCTTGAGGTCGTGCCCGGCTCAAGGGGGCCTCAGGACAAAGCTAGTGGTACCAGGAGACAGGGAGAGGCACCAAGGGACATTGCAGAAGGGACCCAGGCTCAGCTGGCTCCTAATGAGCCCCGGGAGACAGAAGGGGCCAAGTGTTGGCTCTTACTGCAGAGGTGGAGACGAGCTGGGACACAGGCCTGGGGCCACGGGTGGGGAGGAGGGCGGGGCCAGAGGGCCACAGTCAGAGGGACACTGCCCAGCCCTGCCCTTCATGTCTCCTTTGAGCACAGGGTTGGGGAGCCCCAGCTACTTCCCCACACCCCTCGTCGGCCCCTGGAGGACCCCTGGGAGGACGGTCAGGGAGGGGTAGGAGCTTCCCCCTGGGCCACTGCCACATGCCCGCTGGGAGGATGCTTCTCTGGCCCTCCCCCTGCAGAGGGGCCTGCCCAGGAGGGCTCACCGGGGACCAAATCTCCGTCCTCATCCGAGAGCTCCGGGCAGGACTCGGGCGTGGAGCCGCTGCTCTCCGTGGCCTGGCTGTGGCCGGAGGGCTGGTCGCTGGCCTTGCGAAGCCGCCGGTCTGCGCCAGGCGCCTGCAGGGACACGGAGGCGCTGGCCCGGAGCCCACCCACACCTACCGCCCCGCGGGGACCTGCTGGGGGAAGGGAGGCTTGCGGAGGAGGAGCAGAGGGCTCAGCTGCCGAGGCGGCCTGAGGGCTGCCCTGGCCTGGGCTGGAGCACCCCCGCCGGCCTCGGTTTCCTCATCTGTGGAATGGGAGCGTGTGCTAAGGCAACAGTGTGCCCTGCACACTGGGCGTCCTCCACGTCCAGGCAGCCCAGGTCCCACGCTGCGGAGGGCAGGGCGGGGGACGAGGCGCAGGGCCACAGGAAGCCCTGCCTGGGGCCACGGGCAGGGGACAGAGAGGAGGAGGGCCAGGTGGGTGGGAGCAAGGCTGGGGCTGGCGGCCACACCTGCAGCCTGGCTGTCCCCCCCACTGCAGAGGACGTCGGGGCAGGGGCCCTGGGGTGCTGACCTGGTGCCGGGGCCCTGGGCTGCCCACCAAGCGGACCTGATGGGTTAAGCTCTCCCGCTGCAGGGTGCGCAGAACCCCGTCCTGCTCAAACTGGGCGATGTCCTTCAGGGGGTCCCAAGGGCTGTGGCTGGAGGGCCCAGAGGGTATCCGTTAGCAGGGGCAGTGACCCTCGGGGGAAGGCGACACCATCCCAGCCAGAGCCCCACCCCCGAGAGTGCCTGTAGCCTACACCCATGTGCAGGGGCCGCACCAAGGGCTGGCCAGGGGTCCCCCTTTGCGACCCCCGCCCATCACGAGCCCCCCGTTTCTCGGGCCAGGCAGTCTTCTGGTCCGGCCCGTCACAGGGCCCCTGGGCCACCACCTGTCAGCACTCACTTCTCGAATCGGTAGCGCCACTCCTGGGTGGCGGGGTCCAGGTGGAACAGCTGGGGCGTCCACGGTGCTGGGCTCTGCTGGTGCTCACGGGTCCGCCGCCGCTGCGCCTCCTCCAGGAAAAACTTCTCCTGTGTGGCCTTGTGCTGGTCACCCTCCCTGATGGCCCTGGTGACGTGCTGCCAGAGCCTGGGGGCAGGCACCCGCTCTGAGCTGGGGGACATGAGCGCCACGCCCCCCAGGCATTGGAGGGGAGGCTTAGAGCCATCTCCACTTGACTGCCTCCAGTGACGGGGAGCTCACTGCCTCTTAGGGCACCTGTGTCTCTTGGGACACTTTTTTCCCCCCAAGCCTCATTGTTTACACGAGATTCCAGAGAAACACAGTCATTTCAAGGTGCTTTCGAAGTTTCTAAATGCTGCTTATCAATGTCTGTACTTGGCGCCCACGGACCAGTGATACTGAGAATCAGTAGGTGTGACTCAGGCGCGGGTCTGAGGCCGCTCTGGCGCGGAAAAGCCCGCGGGATCATGCGCCTGGTCACAGCGTGGCTCCATCCCCACGGCCTGGGTGGGGCTGTGGGACGGTCTCCGACGCTTCCTGAGCTCTGGTTCACTCTCGGGACCAGGTGGAAACAGCGACGCTTTGGCCTTTACGCGAACTCGGTGGCCACCGACTAAACCCTCAGGGAGGATGTCGGCAGAAACTAAACACTAAGCACGGGTTTGCCCTCTGGTCTCTGCCTCGCCCTCTCACGGACGCTGTTTCTCCCATGCACACGGCGTGTTCAGCCGATCGTCGGACAGGGGGAGGGCCCCGCGGCCTAGTCTGACGGCTCTAACTGGAAGCACAGCTGCTTGGACACGCGGGAGGAACCCTGTCCCCTCGCAGAGGGCTGACCCTCCTCCTCTGAGCTGGCAGTGCCCGTGCGCCGCCCGAGGGCCCCCGGAGGCAGCGACGGAGGCAGGCGCCCCTCCACCCCGCCGAGTCCACGCCGTTTGCTGCCGTCTGTCCTAACGACCAAAGGCTCTCCCGTGGAAGGCAGCAGTCCGACCCCCGAGAGTGCCCCCCAGAGCCGCTGCCCGCTCACAGCCCCCTGCAGCCCTGCCCACTCAGAGAGCAGCTGCCAGCCTGGCACCCCAGCGGGGTCAGCAGGGTCCCTCGGGCGCCGGGCCGCCTCACCTCTCCGACTCCAGCTCCGTCTGTTCCTCCAAGAGCACCGTGCGCCGCTTCAGCCTCTGCCCGCGAACCTCCCTGCTGGGGTTCCAGAGGAGCTCGGAGCTTCCTCGCCCCTCCTCCTTGATAAACACTTCCCTGTCCTGCCACGGAGGCCAGGGGCTCAGAGGGCTGGCCCCACGCCGTCCAGGGGCCCAGTGCCCGGGGACCCCAGGGCGGCCTCTTACCCAGTGTCCAGAAAGATGTGCCAACACCTCCTCTCCCGACGTGATCCTCCCCGAGATCTGGTTGATGCTCGCGCTGCCCCCGAAGAAAGGCTGAGGACAGGGCCGAGGATGCCGGTGAGGTGGGGGCCCCTCCACAGACCCCTGCACCCCTGCGAGCTGGGGAGGAGGCCCCTGCCAGAGGTGCGTCCTTGTGGGACCCTCCTGGGGGGCAGGCGCTCACTCCCCGTGCACGGGAGCCCGGCTGGGACAGGGCCCGGCTACAGGTGGCCACACTGGCCAGTGCCTCAGCTTGAGCTCTGGGGTGCAGGGGCCCCCACCAGGCCTGCAAGCCCCACGGAGGCCTGGCCTGGCTCCCTCCCCCCGTCTGGGCCCTGGCTGTCCCACAGGGTGCCAGGAGCTGCTCCCCCAGGTGAACTTGCTCAGGAAACCATCTCTGGGGCACAAAGAGGGGAGGAGAGGGGTCCCCAAGGCTCTGCTCCTCTGCAGCCCGAGCCCCAAGCCTCCGAGGCCCTCCAAGCGGCTGGAGGTGCTGCGGCCCGAGCTACCTTGAGCTTGAATTCCAGCTCGGCCCGGAGACTGCTCTTCTCGCACGCGATGGTCACTCCGCCGCCCAGCTCCATGGTCATGGTGCCGTACAGGATTCCTGAAACAAGTGGACGTGCTCGGCGCCAGCCCTGCCAGCCCTCATCCCCTCGTTCTAAAGAACTGCTGCTTAGAGCGAGGGGAGAGAGCCACAGAGAAGCATCCATGTGAGAGCCCAGCCCCACCCGGAGCCGCCCCGACCCCCACGGAGCCCAGAGCTCTCGGCGCCCAGGACGCTGCCCGGCCCGCTGAACCACGCTGGCAGGGGCATCGCTACTTTTTAACGAACACGTGTATTTAGCGAAGGAAGGAAAGCAGGCAGCTCACATCCCTGGCCCTTCCCAGCACTTAATCTGATGAGACACAAGCTCAGTGAGAAATGTGGCCAAACACCGTCTCTTTCAAGGAAGATACGAAGGTGTGAACCGACATAGCAAAGGGCTGCCAAGAGTCCGCGTCCCTGTGTGCGTACGAGGGACAAGCCGGGGCGGGGCTCTGTGCTGCCGGGGTCTCCGGGTACACTGACCAACAGTGAGGGCAGCTGGGCGGGGGTGCGCCAGCTCGGGGAGAGACCCTAGGCTCCTTGGATTACACCTGTTTTTGTTGTTGTGAATCCTCACCTGAGGATATTTTTCCACTGAGTTTTAGATCGAGTGGAAGGGAGGGAGAGAGAGAGAGAGACACCGATTGGTTGCCTCCTGCGCGACCCTGACGGGGACCGGGGACCAAACCTGCAACCCAGGTACGTGCCCCTGATCAGAAGCTCAAGACCCTCCTGTCTACGGGCCGACGCTCCACCTGCTGAGCCACCAGCCAGGGCGGTACCTGGTTTTTATGGTTCTGACTCTGGAAGGAAGTAACCACGTCATTTATGTAACTGTAAAACAAGGAACTTGAAAAAAGAGACTCCCAGAAGCCAAAAACACGGTGACACAAAGGGCCAGAAGTGGGTGACCCCGGGCGGCACAGCCTTGGAGGGAACCAGCCTGAAGCCCTCGCAAGTCCCACAGGCCGCGCCGGGTCGGGAGCAACCCCGTCATTCAGTCACACACCCAGCTGGGGCAGGGTGGCTCCTGTCTCACTCCCACTGAGTTGCGTGGGGTGGGACAGAGACATCATGGCGGTGTCTTTGCTGAAAGGACTGTGGGGGTCACAGTTCAGAGGTCAGGTCCTGGGCAGACCACCCCCTATGGAACTGGGCATGTGAACTCAAGTTCTAATGTTCAGCTCACAGGTGAGCCCCAGAGGCAATGATGAAACCGCTCTCCTCTCCGGAAACAGATCTGGTCTGCAGATTGTGATCTGTCTCTTCCCTTTTGTCTTTGCATTGAGATAAAACCAACCCAAACCGAAGACAGTTGTTGGCTCTTAACCTCCGTATTATTGCTCTAAAGTCTCATTCTGAGAAACCAAAACCAAAACCCATCCCTCTATGGTTTAACCTTTCTCTAAGCCTCTCATTCCAGAAAACCAAAACCCATCACTGCCGTCAGGAGGACCAGAATGATGGAACCACCCTAACCCCCCCAAAACTGCAAACAGTCGACAAGAAAAACAAGTTTCAGGACACCCCAGCCCCTGACCAATCAAGAACCCGGGAGACCCCAGTCCCCGACCAATCAAGAACCTGCGTGGGTATCACATACCCTCTGCCAGTGGCGGCCACCATCCCCACCTACCCAGCCCACCCCTCAACAAAGAAAAATGGAAGAGAAACTTCCCCGTTAAGAACAGAACCACCTGTGCCCGGCCGGTGTGGCTCAGTGGCTGAGCGTCGACCCTGCACCAAGAGGTCGCCGGTGCGATTCCGGGTCAGGGCACATGCCCAGGTTGTGGGCTAAAACCCCAGTGGGGGGCACGCAGGAGGCGGCCCGTCGATGTTCTCTCTCATCCATGTTTCTACCTCTCTCTCCCTCTCCCTTCCTCTCTCTCTAAAGTCAATAAAGAAGAAAACAAGCCCTGGCCGGTTTGGCTCAGCAGTTAGAGCGTCGACCTGTGGTCCAGAGAGACCCGGGTTCGGTTCCCGCTAAGGGCAGGTACCTCGGCTGCAGTTTGTCGTCGGCCCTGGTTGGGTCGTGCGGGCGGCAACCACTCGATGTGTCCCTTTCACGATGCTTCTCTTGCTCTTCCTCCCTCTCGCTCCCACTCTATATGAAAACGAAAAAATGTCCTTGGGTGAGGATCAAAAAATAAATAAAATAAAATAAAACAAAAACAAATCAGGACCACCCAAAACAAAGAAAAGAAAAACCCCAGGCCATGCATGCTTTTTTGTTTGTTTGTTTTGTTAATCCTCACCTGAGGATATTTTTCCCATTGATTTTTAGAGCGAGGGGAAGGGAAGGAGGGAGGGAGGGAGACACACCATGTGAGAGAGACACATTGATTGCCTCCCACACGAACTTGATCAAACCTGCAACCCAGGTACGTGCCCCTGATCGGGAATCGAACCTGCGACCTCGTGACCCTCTGGGTGTGCAGCCAACGCTCTAACCATTGAGCAACGCCACCCGGGGCAGTACATGCTATTTTAATGCTGAGGCTGGAGCCCACACCCCTACACCTCACAAGTATTTCGGACACCTTGATGGCCAGAGCAGCCGGCATGGCGGGGGCCACACTCCTTGCTCCTTGAAGAGGGCCTCTAGGCCGGGGGTTTTGGGGCGCCGGGCAAAGTCCTGGAGGCTGTCTCAGGCAAGGCTGAGTGCCGGGGGGCCTGGGAACCCAGAGTCTGGGCTGTAAGCCTCCTGCCCAGAAGAAATGATTGGCCTCCAGAGAGTTTTTTTAACTTAAAGGAGAAGTACACTCCGCGTCCCCTCCACTGGGACAAAGAGGGCCCAGCCCCCAGCTACCCACAGTCCAACCATGCAGGCGCACGTGCACGCAGGCTGCAGCCTCTACCACCTCCTACAGGGGGAGCCTGGGCCCTGGGAACACGGGAGGCTGGCGGCGTGGAGATCCCCTCGCGTCACACTGGAAGAAAGCTCACTTAGCTGCAGAAAGGGCCCAGGAGCCAACCTGCAGGCCCCACCGCTGTGGAGGCACCGTGAGCTAAGACAGGGCCGCCCACTGAGATGTCCTGCAGCACTGTCACCCGGAGCGCTGGGGGGGGGGGGGCCTCATCAGGAAGAGGAAATCTCGGCGTCTACCCTCCAGGTGCGGACCATCCTGTGAGGCGGCTGTTTCCAGAGCTGCTGCCCAGATGGAGGGCGCAGATGGCGACCAGGTGGCAAAGCCCCGCAGCCCAGCGGGCTGGGCTCGAACCCGGGGACCACGCGCTTCCCGCGCGCAGACAGCCAGCGTGTGCACCTCGCCCTGGAAGGGAAGCCCTGAGGCCCCTGGTGTTGCCCGGGGTCCAGTCTCCAGAGGCGAGGTCACCTCCCAGGTTGCAGGAAGGACCCGGGACAGAGCCTGAAGGAGCGACAGGGAAGCGACCTTTCAGTGCCTCACAGGGCGGAGGGGGCGCGGGAAGGAGACAGCTGCAGTGACCCAGCGAGGCGCGCGTTCTCGGGACTCCTGCCCAAACACGCAGACCGCAATACACGTGTGCGCACAGATGTGTACGGACATGCGTGCACACGACAGTTGGGAAACTCGGACCCACGCCTGTGTCTGCGGAAAGAGCCTTCTTTTTATTTTGTTTTATTCTTTTTTTTTTTTAATCCTCACCTGAGGACATTTTTCATTCAGATAGAGCAGGAGGGAGAGAGAGGAAGAGAGAGAGAGAGAGAAACATCGACGTGAAAGGGACACGTCGAGTGGCTGCCACCCGCATGACCAACCAGGGCCGGGGACAAACTGCAACCGAGGTTCGTGCCCTTAGCGGGAACCGAACCCGGGTCTCTCTGGACTGCAGGCCGACGCTCCAACCGCTGAGCCAAACCGGCCAGGGCTTGTTTTATTCTTTATTGATTTTAGGCAGCAGTTCTTCCGCGAGGGTCACCTAAGACCATCGGAAAACATATTTCCGATATTGCCGATGGTCTCAGGGACCGAGACACCGCTTGCCTACCGTCTCCAGAGGGGGCCGCCCACATGCAGATATGCCCACGGACGACACGAGGAACCGTATTAAAGGGTCACGGCATTAATAAGGGTGAGAACCACTGTTAGAGAGAAAGTGAAAAGGAGAGAGAGACAGAAACATGGATGAGCGAGAACACTGACTGGCCGCCTCCTGCACGCCCCCCACTGGGAATCCAACCGGGGACCTCTTCGTCTTCTTTCTGGCTGTGGTTAAGAGGGAAACTCCTTATCTCTGGGTGACAGATCACATTCTGTGTGGTATTTGCTCCAAATCAGTCAGAGGGAGAGAGCCTGGGGCCTGGGGTGGGCCTGGCTGTGTGCGTGGGTGTGTGGTTTTGTTTGATGTGCTGCGTAACAAAACGCTGAAAACAATATTGTTGCAAACGCACTGATGAGCGTTGTGAAGGAGTTCTGAGGATCCCGGAAGTGACGCCCACATCGGAAGACACTAGGGCAGCTGCAAAATAAGGCTGAACCCCCGCGTCCCCGCGTCGTGCTTGAAGCGTCGCAAAGGAGGTCGGGCCTCCCCGCTGCAGCGGGGATTCTGAAGGAGCAGCTGCGCGCTGACCCCCCTGGGAACATTGAGAACAGGACGTGCACAGACACGGGCCTATGGCATTCAGAACAGGGTTCGAGGAAAGAATAAGGAACAGAGTCCAATAAAGCTGCTACGTGAGCAGGGCAGGTTGCCAAACTTTTGCCTTTAAAAACAGACTGCTTGCTGCAAGCACTCGGGGCTGCAGCCGTGTCCTGTGTGTGTCTTGGGCTCCGCGTGTCTTGTGCTCTGTGAGTCTTGTGCTCCGCGTGTCTTGTGCTCTGTGAGTCTTGTGCTCTGTGAGTCTTGTGCTCTGTGTGTCTTGTGCTCCGTGAGTCTTGTGCTCCGCGTGTCTTGTGTTCCGCGTGTCTTGTGTTCCGCGAGTCTTGGGCTCCGCGAGTCTTGGGCTCCGCGTGTCTTGGGCTCCGCGTGTCTTGGGCTCCGCGAGTCTTGGGCTCCGCGAGTCTTGGGCTCCGTGTGTCTTGGGCTCTGTGTGTCTT